CAATGGCGGGGTGCTCGCGCACGGAGCCTTAGACAGAATGGGGGAAGGAGGATGAGGAGGGAAGCAGGGAAGCCGGAGGATAAGGAGAATACGGAGGCCGCGGAGGAGGAGGAGGAGGAAGAGCAGGAGGAGGAGGAGGAGGAGGAGGAGGACAAGGAGGAGGAGGAGGAGGAGCAGGGGCAGGGGGGTAGGTTGAGGTTGAGGTCGAGACCGCGGTCAGAAAGGGGTTGAGGTCCCGCGGCCGCGGCTCGTCGCTCAGGTTGCACCCCGACTGCAACCGCATGAATTCGCTGCCCGACCTGCACTTCGAGTGCGCAGCGTCGCCTCCGATCGTGGTCGTCATCGTCATCGTCATCGTCGTCGTCGTCGTCGTCGTCGTCGTCGTCGTCGTCGTCGTCGTGGTGACGATGCTGCTGCTGATGGGGGTGACGTCGGTGTCGGCGGCGATGCTGTTGATGATGGTGACGATGCTGATGACGATGATCGTGCTGATGTTGATGATGCTGAGGATGATGATATTGATGATGATGATGATGATGATGATGATGATGATGATGATGATGATGATGATGATGCTGGTGCTGATGTGATGAATGATGATGCTGATGATGCTGATGATGATGATGATGCTGCTGCTGCTGATGCTGATGACGATGTTGATGACGATGACGATGATGCTGCTGCTGATGATGATGGTGATGATGGTGGTGATGACGATGGCGACGGCGATGCTGATGACGACGACGGTGTGGGTTAGGGCCATTCTGATTCTAATGAGTGTAAGTGCGAGAGAGGTACTGAGGCCGACCTTCTTCAAGCTCGCCCGCTCCTCCTCAACGCGCTCGTCGTGAATCTATTCATATTTCTCTTTGTCCTGATCGCTCTCCTGCTCCTCACCCCTTCCTTGTTCACCTTTCGCCGCTCCTTGTGTATCTGTACGTGTATCGGCTATGTGTAAATGTATTTAGCATTTCAGTATCGTCGTTTTCTTCCTTCCCCCTTTACACCTTTCACTCCCCCTCCCCATCTCTTCATCGAGGATGCCGGCGGCGCACCACCGCTCCTTGGGAGTTCGACGAAGTGGCGCGCAGCATCGAGAGTCGTGACGCAGCGCGCATGCTAGCTGTCCCTGCCAGGGATTGCCTGAAGGCTTCTTTGGACTGTCTAGTTGCCTTCGGCCCACCCCGCCACCGTGCCTAGGTTGTAAGTCAGAGGCCTCTGGGATGCCTGTAAGGATCTCCAGCAAGGCTTTTCGAAAGCCTCCTGGAGGTGGTTTTGGATCTCTTGGAGGAACTTCATGGCAGGGAGGTTTTGACCAGGCCCCCGCCTCGCACGGCCCAGCCCGCAGGCGGGAGCGGCCAAATCTGAAGGGCCGCGCTCTCCTGCGCCGCCCCCCCCCACGGCTGAGCCACAGCATGACTGTCTTGGGACAGTTTTGGGCTCCCCTTGGGCCATCCTGGAACGTCTCGGGGTCATCTCGTGGCCTCGATGGGTCGCCCAGGGCGATGCGGGTGGCATACGCAGCGGGGCCTTCGGGCCGCCTTGGCCGTCTTGGACCACGTCGGGGTCTGGCGGCCGTGTAGAGGCGATGTAGGTACATCGCGGGAGCAAGGCCGTCTTGGGCTCTCAAGGTTCTTCTTCGGGGCCTCTTAGGGCCGTCTTGGAGGCCTCTTGGGCTCACCTGGTCATCTGGTGGCGTCCCTGTGGGAGCTCTGGGGCAACCTAGAGCGGTCAGGAGGTTGTGCCTCCTCTGGATGCTTTTTTTCCATGATGGACAGTAGATTGGATGCTAGACTGGAGACTCCGCCCCATCTCGTCCGCGGAGAGTGAGCCCGACTCACTGGGTGTCAGAGCGCCCCGGCCGCCGGCAAGCAGGCAGCCCTTGCTCACGAGTACCTTGCCAGCGCGCCCGCCAGAGCTGGCCGCGTGCCTGCCAGCCCTGCTGCTGCTCCTGCTGCTCACCCGTCCTGCTGCCCCCGGCGTGCTCTTTCTCCCCCCCGTTCTTCCACGCCGTGTCCTCCACGCTGTGCCCTGATGGGCACGGACGGGTTCTCTGGCAGAGCGCGCACGACTCCAGGAGGAGGAGGAGGAGGAGGAGGAGGAGGAGGAGGAGGAGGAGGAGGAGGAGGAGGAGGACGAGGACGAGGAGGAGGAGGAGGAGGAGGAGGAGGAGGAGGAGGAGGAGAGGATGAGGAGGAGGAGGAGGAAGCGGAGGAGAGGAGGAGGAGGATTGAGGAGGAGGCGGAGGAGGAGGTAGGAGGAGGAGGAGGAAGGAGGAGGAGGAGGAGGGCAGGAGGAGGAGGAGGAGGGCAGGAGGAGGAGGAGGAGGAGGAGGAGGAGGAGGAGGAGTTGGGGGAGGAGGAAGATGAGGAGGGGGAGGTGGAGGAGGAGGAGGAGGAGGAGGAGGAGGAGGAGGAGGAGGAGGAGGAGGAGGAGGAGGAGGAGGAGGAGGAGGAACCCCCTACTCGAAGAGGAGGGAGAAAGGAGGAGCGGCGGAAGA